TTATTTAATTCGCCAAAAAAAAGCCCAAATCATTTTTTTTTAGCAAAACAAAGCCCAAATCAGATTTACTTTCATTCAGCCAAAACACATTTTTTGTCGTCAAATTGCCCAAACCTATTAAATTCTTATGAACAAGCCCAAAACACTTTTTACTTATCTTTCAAAACCTGAAATTATGTAAATTCAACCTATAAAAATCCATCATTCCAATCTAAATTTCTAAACTAAATGAATCTCACATTCACACATTTAACCAACCAACCAAGGAAAGGAAATATAATCTCTTACAAACCATTACAAAAAATAATACACAAACCAAATTAAACTTATGAAATTAAAGATTACAACTCATCACAAAAATACACATGAAGATAATATCCTTGCAAAAAATCTGCTGCATCCATTCTTCCAAAAGCCTTAACAAAACAACCTACACAACACTTACAAGAATTAACACAAACTAAAACATATATATTATCCAAAAACCAGATTTAAACAGAGTTTCCTATCCATCAACAGACTACAACATATATATTATCCAAAAACCAGATTTAAACAGAGTTTCCTATCCATCAACAGACTACAACATATATATTATCCAAAAACCAGATTTAAACAGAGTTTCCTATCCATCAACAGACTACAACATATATATTATCCAAAAACCAGATTTAAACAGAGTTTCCTATCCATCAACAGACTACAACATATATATTATCCAAAAACCAGATTTAAACAGAGTTTCCTATCCATCAACAGACTACAACATATATATTATCCAAAAACCAGATTTAAACAGAGTTTCCTATCCATCAACAGACTACAACATATATATTATCCAAAAACCAGATTTAAACAGAGTTTCCTATCCATCAACAGACTACAACATATATATTATCCAAAAACCAGATTTAAACAGAGTTTCCTATCCATCAACAGACTACAACATATATATTATCCAAAAACCAGATTTAAACAGAGTTTCCTATCCATCAACAGACTACAACATATATATTATCCAAAAACCAGATTTAAATAGAGTTTCCTATCCATCAACAGACTACAACATATATATTATCTAAAAAACTGATTTAAATAGATACAAAACAGATTTAAATCACACACTGTCAATGAAAACAAATAAAAAACAGATTCAAAACAGATCCAAAAAAACAGATTCAAAATAGATACAAAACAGATTTAAAATAGATCCAAAAAACAAATTCAAAACAGATACAAAACATATTCAAAACAGATCCAAAAAACTTATTTACCTCCATTTAAGCAAAAGCTTTTCGAAACTTTCAAAGCTCAGCAGCAGAGATGCTAAACAACTGTGAATGAAAACAAAAATAGGGTTAGGTTCTAAACAAGCTTCATTCCTTTCATAAATTCAAACCAAATTCAAACCAAATACCCTAAAAATCCTAAAATTAAAACCAAAATTTGAACTGAACCCCAAAATTTCAGAACAGACTCCAATTAGCAAAGATCATCTTTGAACAGAAACAAAAAGAAAAAACAGAAACTAACGTTACTAACCAATCAAAACAGACCTAGCATGTATGTAGCATAACCTATTTAACAAAAAGAAACATAAACATAATTAATACAGTAGCATAACAACAGAATGGCAGCAGCAGAAACAAAACCTAGTACTTTGACAGAACCTAATTTCATAAAACAAAAATTAATTTAGCAAAACAGAACCACCAAGGACAGAACCAAATAATCACAACAGTATAATTTAACAGAATAACCTAATTGGTAGCAGCCCTAATTAGAATAATTTAACAGAAGAACCTAAATGCTATCAGCCCTAATTTATATAATGAAACTAACAAATCATAACTTCAATAGCTATTACAAATTACACTAAAAATATATGAGACTTTTCTTAGCAAAAGGGGTGTTTGTTGGGTTTACCTATTGCCCAAAAGAGCTTGAAGGTGGATGATCATCTTCGCCTCATGGTCAGTAAAGTTACCACGTTTGATCCCAGGCCTAAGGTAATTAGTCCATCTCAGCCTGCAACTTTTATTGCATCTATGCAGCCCTGGAACACCAAAACAGAACAAAGATGTATTAGTTGAGGCTCAAATAGTAGATCACCGCACCCTAATGCTTCACTAACAAAATAACAAAATGGCTGTGCTTTTAATAATCTAAATGCAACGCCAAAATGAAAATATCCTGCCTTTTCATCTCAAAATTATACATAAGCCATAACAAAACCGACCCATCAAATGAAAACCAAGTATATTTTTACTCAAACAAAAGCAACACATCAACCTCAACCACCAAATCGACAAGCCTAATTTAAAAGAAAATAAACCATAAATTTAATTTAGAATAAACCCTAAATTCAAAGGAAGATGATGCTCTCACCTTTGCGAATTTTGAGAGAGAAACCCACAGAAGAAATCGGAGGAGAGGAATAGATGGTGATCACAAACTGAGAAACATAGAAAAATCGAGATAAGAAGAGAGAGTTAGCGGAGCAAAACATAAAACTGGGAAAAATTTTAACATATAAGAGAAAGAGAAGTTGGCCTGTCGCTGCGTGCAGGGCTGATCAACTGAGAGTCTGAGAGTCTGAGAGTGAGGGGATCGTGAGAGTCTGAGACTGAGAGAGGCGCGGTGGTTGAGAGTCTGAGAGTGAGAGGATCGTGAGAGAGAGACTGAGAGAGTAGTGGTGCTGGTGCTATGCGAGGATTGAAGATCTAAGGGAGGAGGCGGGTCGAGAGAGAGAGAGGTGAGGCGCCGCTTAGTGTTAGGTCAAAACGAAAAGAAAAATTAGAACGAAGAGAAGACTGAGTGAGATTCGTGAGAGAGAGAGAGAGACTGAGAGAGTAGCGTGTGTGTGAGGGTTACAACAACAAAAAAATTGCGTAAGGGATCTGGTGCAAGCACTCTCACACTTCCTCTTTTTTGGGCCAATCACATGAGGCCACGTGTAAATTATATATATTTAAATATTAACCGGTTCGGTTCAGGTCCACCGGTTCTGAAAAAATTAGAACCGAGAGCCGAACTGTTGACCTTCGGTTCGGTTCAGGTCCAGGTTTGACTTTTTCGATTTGGTCAAAAAACACTCTTTTTCGATTCGGTTTGGGTTGGTTCGGTCGGTTTGATCGGTTTATCGATTTTTATGCCCACCCCTAGTTTGTGTATTGCCATTGTATAACCCTTTATTGCTTGTGTATTGCTAATGTATTGCCTTTGTATATCTTTTTTTTTTCTTTTCAAGTTTGTGTTTGAATAAATTTATAGGGGAGTATGAAGTTTGTATATTGCCATTGTATAGCCTTTTTTTGCTTTTGTATTCCTATTGTATTGCTTCCATAGTAGGGAAATTGGGAAATTGGCGGTATATGGGTGTAAGAATGTGATTTCATCAAGGACGTCACGTCCTTTGTTTAGAAAACACGTTATATACATTCTGTAACAACCCGAACCTTAAATAATTTTTAATTATAAATTTATTCAAGTAAAAGACTATTTTACCCCGCAAATAATTTATTAGGTTTAAAGTTGATTTTTTGACCGGGAGGGAATTTGGGAATTTCGATTGTACCACTGCATAGATCACATCGAAGTGAGTTCGTAGACACGTAGTGAGCTCAAATCCGAGTTGTATTGAGTAAAATATGATTAAAATACTAAAAAGGGCAAAATCGTAATTTTGCAAGAAATCAGATTTTTTTTAAAACCCATCTTTCTCTATCTTCCATGTGACACTCTCTCTCCTCTCTCTCTCTCTCCCTGATGACTCCCTCTCTCACTCTCTCTCTTCGAATTCCGGCCAACCGGCCATGGCAAGCCACAAGACCGGTGCCAAAAGGACCGGCCCTACTCCGCCGTCAAACCCCAGCCTTCTCCCGCCACCAACCGCCGCTTTTCTCGCCGGAAAACGTGAAAAACCACTTGGTTTTTGATAGAGATTTCGCCGGCTTCGTTCTCCGTCCTCCGACCACCGTTTCCGACGAGTGAGGTATGCTTTCTCACCTTTTTTTTTTCGAGCTCTAGCTGATGGTTGGGTAGGATTTGATCGATTTCTAACCTAGGTGGTTCGATTTGTAACTCAAAGTTCGGCCAGATTTCGGGTTGAAATTCTGGCCACTTCCGGTTATTTTTCGGGGTAGGTCCAAGAACAAAAGTGACTCCAATCGATGTCCTGAACCTATGGTAGGAATCTTGGCCCTAGATTTTGAGGTTTTTCAGGCAGCCGCTATCGCTTAGGATACTCACGCGCTGCTGGCGCGTGTTGCGGCTCGTGGGTACTGTAGCAGAGAGGCATTGTGTCCCGATGTGATCCCCTAGTTGTCACGAGCGCGCAGGTGTGCTCAGATTCCAATTCGATACCATTTGAGCCTCGAACGGGTTTCGCCTATTGTACAATTTCTAGGTTCAATATGTTCGAACCATTGGATTGAACTCAAACTCACGTATGTTGTACCTCATATTTTTAGGATCATGTAGGATTCGACGGATCGTGAATCGGAGTCCCAGATACTCCGAAATCGGGAACCCTAGGGTGAAATTAACCGTAACCGTCCGATAGTGCGATCATGATCAATCCGACGATCCGATTCGGACCAAACTTCCAGGGTATGGTTATTAAAATATGTAGAACCTATAGAAACTCTTGAATTGTCAATTAGAGGTCGTGGACCCCACGGGTTCCCGGGTTGACCAATATGGAAATTTATCTCTTAACGATTCTCGGATCTTTTTAGAATGTTTCAATCATTGGAAATGTATATGTGGGCATAGGAATGATCTTAAACTCGGTGCACGTGCTTTTTGAAGTCGAGGGTCAGTCTTTTCAATTAAATGATTATGTGGATCTATTTTATTAATTAAACATTTGTAATGGTTTAAATAGGTACTCGGGCTCCATCAGACCCGCAGGAGGGACCTTCGAAGGGTCAGGCTAGCTCGGACGCTTAGTGAGTGGACTTTTGTATTATAAATGATTTTATGCAATTGAATTTCATTATTTGATCTTGAATAAGTTTTATTGACTATGGCTTTCCTAGCATGATTTGTTGGATTTAAATATTTATATTTATATGCTTCCAAGTTGAAAATGCTAAAAGGGTTTGGAAAGTAAGAATTGAGATAATTATCGGATTGAATGGAAGCAGGATTTAAGGATAATTAAGAAATAGTTTTATAAATTCTAATCTTTTTTAGAAATATATATTTATTTTAAACCACCATAGGTACCTAGGAATTATAAAAATGTTGCCTTGGTATAAAAGTTGTCTCGGAATGAATGTTGCCTCAGATAAAAATTGTTGCCTTCGTTATAGTTAGCGTGCTTGACTTTTGCCCCACGAGTCTTAGGGATATCCAGACCGTGTGGAGCGAGAAATGTGGAACAGGTTGACCAAATGTCTCCTGAGTCTAGCGAGGATTGCGCCTCGGGTGACTTTGTGTTCCCAAGGCCTGCGAGGATGTGTCGCTTCGGTGACATGAGGAATTGACGGAAATATAATGGGTACACCTAGGTGGAAGGAAATTATTTCTTTTTCGATGTTTTCCTTTGGTTTGTTGAAATGTTGAATGACGGGATGTTTATATATATATATATGTTGAAATGTTGAATGATGGGATGTTTATATATATATGCATGCTTTATTTTTGTACGAATATAGAATCTTGAAACAATTGAGTTTTCTAATTGTTTTTACGGAGGGGTTAGTATGTTCATGTACTATTTTTTAAAACTTTATTTTTGTCTACTCACATTTTTCAATGTTTTGTGCCCCCAGGCATTAGATGTGCATTAGAGAGTCACCACAGGGCAGATATCCCGCTTCATCCATCCTTTCCGCTACATAGGATTTCTTTGTAATTATACTATTTTATTGTAAATTCTAAACTAGTTGCTCTGATATTGCCCTAGGTTTCTATTTGGCCTGAGGCTATTTAGTTTGGTTGAACTGTTTCGACGTAAATTGAATGCATGCTGGGAGTTGGGATATGTATACATATGCTTGTTTAATAGGTGAAAATTTTGGGAAATGATCAAATTACAAGGGAGACTGCCGAATTTTCGGCAGAAGTCGAACTTGTAATAAACTTTGAATTTTAGCTAGAAGGGCAATTTAGTCATTTGTGCCTAGCATCCGCCAGGTGTCGGACATGCACATGGTTTGGCTCGGATTCCAAAGTGGAATTTGGGTCGAGTCTTGTCACATTCAGTGTATATTGCGTGTATATTGTATGTATATTGTCTGTTTATTGTTTGTATATTGCTTGTTCATTGTCTGTGTATAGCCATTTATTTTCTTTTATTAACATTGTATTGTATGTTTATTGCCGAATTATAGCTTCTATCATTTTTTGAGAAAAATTAATATAAACTCTTAATTTTGACGGTACAAGGGTGTAAGGATGTGATTCCATCAAGGCCTCATATATGTGCTTGTATTGCCTTTGTATTGCCCCTGTATATGGCTTATATTGTGTAGGTATTGCCCCCATAGATGGCTTGTATTGCCTACTTATTGCGCAAAAACGAGGACTCTCAAACCAATTAATGTAAAAATAATGTAGAAAAAATCAGGCAATACCACAACACTACAATGTCAATACCATGACAATACAAGAGCAATAGGGCAACAATACAATGACAATACAAAACTCCACATTCCCACTATAATTTCATTTGAACACATAAAAAAAAGGTGATACATGGGCAATAAATGGGCTATCAATGGCCAAAAAAAAAAACAAGGCAAATAAAAAAAAGGTTATACGAAGGCAATTAGGAGCAATACCGTGGCAATAAGAACACAATAGGAGGCTATATAGTGGCAATACTAATGCAATATGAGGCTATACAGTAGCAATACAAAAACTCTAAAAGTCCATCTTATGCAGGCAACGCGGGGCAAAACACAACGTATATAATGTTCTCTCTTCAATGTATAATATAAGTAAAAGTTTTTTTTTTCCATTGCACAAACTTGCGAATATATAAAAAGAACAAATTCAAGACTGAAAATTTCAACTAAATTGAACTCAATTTCATTGAATGAGGACTAAA